TGCAGAGCCCCCCGGACCGGTGGCCAGGACCCAAGCAGTGTGAGTGCCACTAAAAATCAGCTCACGTGCCATCTTCGGCATGCGTGCCATAGGTTGCCTACCCCTGCTGTAGGTGCTGTGAGAGAATTTCACATCTGAAGACAGTCAGAATGTGCCTGTCTTTAAGTCACTCATCAGCATTGTGTTCCACCTAGAGAAAATGAGGGGGGTGTGGGCGATGCACCCATCTGGAGGTGTTCCACTGTTGAACAGAATAAGGATAACTCCCCTGATCAGACTCCTTATTCTGTCCATGTTTCATAAGTGAGTGAAGGAGAGGAATGAACTGATAGAAAACTACAGAATGGCTTCTGTGGGTTATGGGACCAGAGGTTGCTGCTGGGAGGTCAGAAGATGCTAGCAAATAAGCAGGGGTAAAACTCTCAAACTGTGGGACTCCTTGTTCAGCTGCTTTGGTGTTTGCATTAACTGGTGTTTGCAAATATTCATGTGAGCAAAATTTCATTCTCTAGAATACTTGTGTAAAAGAAGTTTTACATGCATATGTGTCCATATGCCAATACTTATGTGAATGTATAGTTGCATGAGCATTCACACTGTAAGTGTTCATGTTGGTCTCTTTATAACTGTTTTTATGTATAGAAGTCATCCAGTTAGGGAGCACAAACAATGCAATATTCCTTAGGTGATCATTCACAAAATGCAATTATGAATAGCACCTACTTGAAGCAATAGTTGCAGCAAGTTATTCATGATCAGTCTTTAGCTGAAATATGTTAATATAAATCCTTTGTTGAATAAGTTTGAGTAATAAATATATTCATTTTTTAAAAAAGCCTATTGATGTATAGTTTTAATAGAAGATGGCTATACTGATCAAAGAAATTGTTAGCTCTAAATAGTTTGTTCAGGGTTTTTTTGGTAGAATGCCTTGAATTTCACTGACTGCTTTCTCGTTGTGTGATGTCATGACAGTTGGAAACAGCTGAGGTGTTCAAGCAGATAGTTTTCTAATTTAACTGTGAGAGGTCTGGTGTCAGCTCATTGTAGATGGAGGATCCTGCAACCTGGAATGCACCTCCCCATTTCCGTCTGCTCACTTTTCCAAGCCTTAATTATTTTACACATGCAGGGAAGAATTGTTTGAATTTGGGGTAATGATCAAAGGTTTTAGTCTTTAGATGTTAGTCCTATTTTGGAATTTGTTTAGTATCTTTGCATATTTTTAGAGCTTTTGATGGGTACATTTTAACTAATTCTAGTGAGGAGCAATTGTTTTAGTTCCCTGTTATATCAAGCCCTTATTGTTTTAAAAGAGAGGAAGGAGAGAAGGTCAGAAATTTACATTCCATGCTATGGCTAATGCATTTTGTTTTTTATAACAAAAGATAAAGTGATGGGTTTTCCTTTAAATATAATTCTAGTGCTGTTTTATTTTAAGATGCCAAAACATTTTTCAGAATTGTTCAATAGTAGGTGATAGAATTAAGACTTGTAGATTTTTTTTTCCTTAGTATGACAGTGAACACAAAACTTGGATGTGGAAAAACATGAAGTTATCTAACAGTGAAACTCTATTAATTTAAACAGCAAGATTAATATGCATTTTAATCTTTGCCTTATATTTTTTAATGTTTTGATCAGTACAGTAAAAGTAAAATCAAAGTGCTAGTTTCTTAACATGCTTTTTCAGAAAGTACCTTAAATATTGTACTTTTGCATGTATTAATTTCCATAGTTTCCTATTTATTTCTTCCCCAATGACCTCTAATTTGTAATCTTTATAATTTAGGTAATGTTTTGTAGTGGTACTCTCATTAGGATGATGCAACATTGCATGTTTTCTACTTATTGGTGTTTGAGATGTATAACTAAATCTAGAAGATAAAGCATGAACTGTGAAATTATAACTAAAAATGGAATATAATTATTGAAATTATGGCATTTTGGTTAATGTCAAGTGTTGTATCAGATTTAATATCTGGCCTTTTTTATCTCAAAAACCTTTATGATCTAAAAAGTCCATGTTTGTATATTATAACTTGAGTTAAATTTACCCTGAAGTCCTCACATGTTAAGCCTTTTTTTAATTATAGCTGTGAACAAACATTCTAAAATTTGGAGTTTTGGACCCCATTCCTGCAAATACTCATGTATGACAAGTTGTCCCATTGAAGCCAGTGAATCGAGGCCTTTACAGTCATATAATAATAATCTAGGGTCTCAGTCCTGTACTACTGAAGCCAGTGGGACCTTTGACATTGTGATATAGAGATCTTTAGTCCAATATATCAAAAATATTTTCTAGGTTTCCACTTCCTTCAGCCCTTTGTCAGGCCCAATCTTACTTTACTTCTCTTATCTAATTGAATCTATAATATTTTTATGAGATGTGTCACTGTATCTAAGTGATGAAACACTGACATCCACTGAAATCCTTGAGACACCTACCCATGGACACCAGCTTTCCCTTGTCTTTAGTAATTTCATAAATTGTGGCGTTTAAGTCATCACCATGAGCATTGCATAAGGGAAGCTGTGCCATCCATATTTCAAATCCTTGTGACTAATATTACTCTGAACTCTATCATTATATCGGGGAGGGATAGCTCAGTGGTTTGAGCATTGGCCTGCTAAACCCAGGATTGTGAGTTCAGTCCTTGAGGGGGCCACTTAGGGATCTGGGGCAAAATCAGTACTTGGTCCTGCTAGTGAAGGCAGGGGTTTGGACTTGATGACCTTTCAGGGTCCCTTCCAGTTCTAGGAGATAGAATATCTCCATATTTTATTATTATTATCTTTTGTTACTTATATGTGTAAACCTTCTGCCAGGTGGAATCAGCAGTAACCAGGGCTGGGTTCAATATCTAGGGGTTCCTTCTCAACAATACAACACATAGAACCAGCTCGAGCCCCCACCCAGTAACCTGGGAAAATTGCATACTGCCCCAGATGCCTCTATGAGGCAATACTTCCCCTCTCACAAGCACAGAGTCTAAGGGTAGACTCTACCAGATCGGCGGGTAGTGATCGATCTATCGGGGATCGATTTATCGCATCTAGTGTAGATGCGATAAATCGAGCCCCAATTGCTCTGCCATTGACTCTGGAACTCCACCGCGGAGAGAGGTGGAAGCGGAGTCAATGGGGGAGCGGCGGCCGTCGATCCCGCACCGCGAGGACATGAAGTTAGTGATTCTAAGTCAATCTAAGATACGTCAACTTCAGCTACGCTATTCTAGTAGCTGAAGTTGCGTATCTTAGATCGATCCCCCCCTAGTGTAGACCAGGCCTGAGTGTAGGAAGTCACCCAACATTGAATAGGGAAAATGCCGTAAGCAGGAGTCATAAACATAAAACCATGAGTAGGGCACCCACCGCAGAGTGTGTGGAGCAGTGTCTTCTGATTCATGTTCTTGAGTTCTGCAACCAAAATTTCCTTTACTGTGCCCCTCTCTGCTCCTTCACCACACCCACTCACAGTGGTTGTCCTGGGTCAGTGAGGACTCAGGGTTCAGAGGTGCATATGTGCGAGTTCACCTCCTACCCGGGGCAGGGAGAAGGCATTGTGATTGCGCTGCCATCTGAGCACCTGCTGTGGCTGGCCGCCCCACCAACCACCATTCCGCTCCACAGGCTGCCCTGCCAGCTGCTGCTCTGCACACAGTCACCTTCTATCACCTGCTTTTATACTGTGACCTCTGTAGGTCAGTCTCTTGAGGTTTCCCCCCAGCTCTTAGTGATTTTCAGTTGTCAGTGATTGTCAGCTACCAGCGGAGGAACTTAAGTGGGCTGGGCAGAAATGCCTTCCCAGCAACAAGTGAGTTCAGCTTTAGTGAGCATTTAACAAAACAAAAGACTCCTAATGGAGCCTTACTTAGTTCTGTCTTTTAAACAGTGGGGAGGAGCAGGTTAAACCAAGCCTGGGGCTCTGAGATAGAGACCATCTCCTGGCATTGACACCTGTCCCCCACTTATCTTCACTAGGTCTGGCATTCAATCCCCTGGCTTAGCTAGTTCCTTTCAGTTGAGGGTGACCCCTCAATCAGGACAGGCTAAGCAAAGTTCTGCTCCCCTTTGCTCATACAATAAAGATAACATTGATAACAACATTTCACAACCCCTGCATTCAGTACTAAAGTGATTTGTAACCCAACACCAGCCAAAGTTGATCACTTTGGGCAACACAGCTCTGTCTGCTGGATATCTAGGAAGAGTAGGTGTGTTTCTGTAAATATATTCTGCTCCTGAAGGCTTTTCCCCTCCCCAGGTAGCTGTCAAAGGAGAGCTCATTCAGACCCTGCTTACATATATTTAGAAAAATATTATAATTATTATTTTGAAAATCAGATTTTAATAATGCAAGATGCTTTAAAGGTTAAGACTGCATATAACTTAAAAGGTTTTCTTGAAGACTTAATAGTTCCATGGCATTAATTTCAGAGTTTGAAGACTGAGCATGAAAACAGTTAAAATATTACCTTCCATAAGTCCTCCATATCATCCCCTCTTCTGTCCTCCATTCAGCCTGGCCTAAAAAATACCCACTCACTTTTGTGTGTGTGTGTGTTTTTTTTTTTTAAAGTCTGAAAATTACATTTTGCCAACTTGAGGTTCTATAAGAGCCCGAAAGACTCTAAGCCAAACCGCAAGCATTTGATTTGCCTGATAGACATATTTTAAGTATAGGAACAATTTTAAAAATTCCCGTTGTGTGACCTTGCTTCTGCACATCTGCAACCATCCAGCTCTATACTACCTACAAATTGGCTGTTGATGTCCAATGGAGAGTTAACTCTGATTCCCATATGCCACCAAGGCAGGCTTCTGCAATAATAAATGTTGATGTTAAGGTTGTCATCTTGACCATCATACAGCAGTTTACTATTTATTTATTACAGACTTGTTTGCTAAAATCCCATTTGGCAATTGTTTTCTTATGTAGACACACATACAGGAAATAATCTGTATCTTAATGTGTATCTTAATCTCTTTTTCAGGTTGCTTGGAATTGAAGGAGGACACCATTGAAAACCTTCTGGCAGCTGCCTGCCTCCTTCAACTCCCACAAGTAGTAGAGGTTTGCTGCCATTTTCTAATGAAGCTTTTACATCCATCCAACTGTTTGGGAATACGAGCATTTGCTGATGCACAGGGGTGCACAGATCTTATGAAGGTGGCTCACAGCTACACCATGGTAAGGCAATTTCAATATATTTCAATTATACTAATGTGAGTCATATATATTATTTTCAAAGTATCTCACTAGCATTGGAGAAACAATTCTGTTGCCATTACTCTTATTGAATAGTGCCATACTCCACAAGTGATCCTATTAAAGTCAGTCGGGCTGCTCGTGGAGTGTGGTACTGAACTGGAATAAGGTAATCAGAATCTCACCCTGAATGGTGAATGCAATTAACTGCTAAGACACTGTTCAGGATGTGCTGTAAATCACAGCAGCATACTGTTTTATTAGGTTCATGTTTATACTGTGAAAATGAATCTTAAGGCCTCAAAATATTTTTAATAAGAGTTTCTATTGTGCCTGATTTGGATATAGGGAAGCTTTATACTTAATGATATTGTTCAATGTATTTAAGAATGTCATTTAAAGTTCTGTATGATATAAAATCTGTAGTTGTTTTTTTTTAAATTATCATTTTAATCGTTAATGCACATGAGAGGGAAGAGAAAAGGCAAAACAAAATCTCTTCAATATATTTTTTTTTGCCTTTTCTCTTCTCTATCATGTGCATTAATGATTAAAATGATCATTTAGAAACAAGCTACAGATTCTATATCATACAGTACTTTAAATGGTACCCACTACAACCCACAGGCTGATATCACAACATTATTAGAAATCAATCGGAATCAAAGTAGAAAAAATGTTTCCTACTAAAATACCAAAACCTATCTGTAGTCATTTAATTCTGCATGGTTTGCTGCAATTAAGAACATCTGGCTCGTGAGATTAGGTTTACGTGGAGACCGGGTCACCTATCACCTCTAGAGAGATAATGGTCCCTTCTGGTCGAGATTGAAATTATTAGTGCAGTAATAGGAAAGTTTTTGATGCAGCTGCTTGGTTTCTCCAGCCAGTTCTTCATTTTAAAAAGCACACTTGTTCTATTGCATGATTATTAAGTACCATATAATAACACAGATGTTTTCAGACCACTAATGCTGATGGCATTATACGCATGTGAATATTCATATACTATTACAGAAGTTTCAAAATATGTATTGAAACCTCTGTGCCTTAGAATGTAAGTTCCACAGGTCAAGAACCTGGCACTTATTTAGTGCAGCTATTGGCCTTTGTAATAATGTACTGAATATATGAAAATGAAATTCATTTCATTCTCTTTTTTTTTTCATTACACTTGCTTGATTTGGTTTGATTTTTGGAGTTTCTTGTTACAGCAGAATTGATTACTCATATCTGATATATCTAATTTACTTCAGTGTTTATTTTGAACCTGTTTCTGAGATCTGAGTAGCTTATGCACAGCTGCTTGGAGACAGGGAGCCTGATCTTCAAGCTGGTAAGCAAACATTGAATTTCATGCAATGGGAAAACTGCCCGAGCGAGGACGGTAGGCCAGCAAGGAAACCAGTTGTAACTAATAAGTTGGCCTTTATCTTAAGTTACTTTGTCTAGGTGGTAAACTTTAGAAGTACATTTTGAAGGCCAGATTTTCAAAACCAAGACCCAAGTTGTATGTGTAATTGTAATTGCATATGTAGCTACATTATCATGGCTGACTTTACAATCATAATAAATATGCAACTGTGCACATACAAGTATGTGTATTTTTCTGTGTACATAAATGATCCTCTAACTCATGGAAATCTTTATCCTATAAATGTCTGATTACTTGATACATGAAATAGATTCACATTTATGCATCTTTGCAAAATCAGTTTTATTGTGAATAATAAGTAATTTGTAATCCCTTAGCTGTAGTGTTTTACATTACATTTTTACTTGTAAAAGTTTAACATTTTTGGAGAGCCACCCAAATTAATAATAATTCTTTATGAATGTTTCTGACGTCAAGGCTATAGAAAGGATGAATGAATGCATACTTTCAAGATTCAAGTGTGTTTACTTTTTATGAAACCAAAAGGTAATTTCAGACATGAAAAAAATTATAGAAATAGGTGAAATGACTTTTCTCTAGCTAATTTTCTTAATTACAAGACCTAAATAATTTCTCTTATGATCTACTGCACTGTCAGAATATCAAGCATAATGGAAACAGTGGGGAAAAAATCAGGGAAAAATTTGGAAAACACTACAGACCTTCAAAGGCTTTTGAAAAGTTAAAGAACAGGGTTGTTTTTTTATAATTTTTTAAATTTGTTTTTCCCCCCCAAACTTCAGAAACATTGTACTTGTGACTGGATATTTATCACTAAAATTATTATATTATACCAACCCAATGAGTAGGGAATCAGAGCTGGCTACATGGACACTTCGAGAATATAGAACTGGTAATCCAAAGACAATATATTTTGTTAACGGGTCATAAATTTCAACCAGCCAAAGAATAATGGCAGAAAATGAAATGATTCCAAAAATTATCTTCAAAAGATAAAAGCATTCTTCTACTGAGATAGAACCAAGAAATTCTCATTCTCAGTATCTTATATCTGTTAAACATTACATTCACCAAGTGATAACCTCCCTGTTGATCATTTCTGCTCTCATGTTTTCCCTATAGTGACATGATAGATTTTACTTTGTTTTTAAATTATGGGATGCTATACCTAAAGATTCATAATTTCATTACTAATTTAGGTCTCAGTCACTGAATGTTCAGTTTTCATTATAATATATTTGTTATTATAACTGGGGGGGAAATGTCAATAAACTCTAGCTAATCAGTTTGTTTTTATAAGCTCCATTCTCCCCTACTGGACAACAGCTCAATAGGGGAAAGGAACTCTGTGAATTGACAGTCATTCCATTTTTCCCATTCTTCTGTCACAAAGATGGGAGTCACTGTCATGAAGGAAGATGGAATTTCAACTGTTCTTCGACTATGAATTCTGGAGGAGCCACAGGAGCTGGGGTGCATTGGCATAGATGGCCCTTGTAGCCACCTTGACACTAAATCCCACCAACATTTCCCATACCATGGCAGCATGCTTTCTGTTGAAGACATGCTTCAAAGAGCTTACGTGTACTGTATTGTTATAGGATATCCCTTAGGGGTTGGTGTGGTTCCAAAGAAGAGAATGAAAAGCAGTGCACATCGGTAAAATATAATGCTGTTTTTAACATTTGCTCCTAATGCTCAATGGTTTGGAAAAGGAGAATCTGGAGGAACACAGCTGTCTCCCTCATACTCTCCCTTCTTCCCCATGCCCCTTCTCTTTCAGGTACCATTGATCCCTTCTGGAGGGACTGCTGTGAAATGGGTAGTATCCCAAAGAGGCAGAAATTCCACTTTCACAGGCATAGGCTCCTCTCCATACATGGATACATCGGGCCATTTATGTTTTCTATTCTACTTGGTCTTCAGTGAGAAATTTGACTGTTACATGCTTGTAATGCAAAAGCCAAATGGGAGAGAACGTGGTGGGGGGGAAGGAAATGTTACCAAAAACATCTATGGGGGAAAATAAATAAGGGAAAAGATGCATAAAAGTTAGGAAAAATCAGGCAATCCAAAAACAAAAGCAGCATATAGGTTTCAAATACAGCAAATTTCTAAATTGTTCTTAGTCTTATTGGAGAGAGAGCTCTGCCTAGGGCCTTGTTCTCTCCCCTCTTGCCCTTGGACAATGAGTCAAATATATATTTTCGGTATGAATAATATTTATTTTAATAAGAAGAACAGAATAAATTTTCGATGAGGAGCATAATGTGTGTGAACAAAATGGCTGCTGTCCCTGCAACACAATCAGAATTCTTAGATATTTAAAGGTTAAGTGCACAGAAACCAAAGGTGTCCATTTCATAGCTGTTTTCATCACATGTGAGGTGCAGAACACTTTCAACTCCCATAATATGAACTGGGAGTTGAAGTCACTCAACACTTTTCAAGAGGTTTACAGTACTTCATACAGTTGGGCTCTTTGGTCCTAATCCAGCAAAGGACCTAAGCACATGCTTAATTTTAAGCAAATGAGTTGTCACAGTGAAGTCTATTTTCTATACACTAAACTTTTAATTTCCTAAGAATTCTGGCTATGTTGCAGGAACAACCAACATTTTGTTCTCACACACCCTGCTCCTCACAGAGACTTTAATTTAGTTCTTCCTTGTTGATCAATGTCACAATCTAGAATAAGCAATTCAGTCTGTAAACACATGGCTTCTCTTTGTGCATAGAAAAGCATAAATGGGGACTACTCTAGTGATTAAGCATGTGCTTAAATTAAGCATGTGCTTAAATGCTGGACCTTAATTTTCATAACTACAAATGATCATTCAGGATATTATATTGATACATTTTCCTATTAAATCAGGAACAATATAGAAGCTCATCACTATATTTGATTCCCACCCTGCCCCTCAACGCCACACCTATCATCTTCCTATTTTGTATCAGAGATTTAATTTAAAAATGGTATAGTGAGGTTTCATGCTAATAATGGTTAATAGTAGAGCTGGTCAGAAATTTTCTGCTGCATCATTTTTCTCCCAGAAAATGCCGATTTACTGAAGTTGAAACATTCTGATGGGAGCATGACATTTTGTCAAAACTTCCAATGGAAATCAAGCAGGTTGGAAAATTGCCTGGTGTTTACCCAGCTTCCTTGAACATCTACCCAGCCTCTCACAAGCCCACCTAGTGGGCTCTCTGGGAGCCTGGGGAGCATATTTCATTTCAGAAACACTGAAACATGCCAGCTGCAGGAATGTGCTTGTGTTCACAAAATGAAATACTGTGGCATTTCATTCGAGTGGAAATTGCTGGGATTTTGTGGAAAAAAAATGTTGTCTCAAACCAGGAAGAAAAGCCAAAAAAGTCAAAATTTTCAAAAGTGAGTTATTAAGCACTTTGGGAGCAGATTTTCAAATGTAGGTACCTAAAAGATGCCCAGGAATGGGAGTTCACAAGATGGCTAGGCAGCTTTGTTAGGCATTTTTGGTTTGGTTGGTGGGTGTTTTGGGTTTTGGTTTTTGTGTTTGTTTGTGTGTGTTTATTTGTGTTTTTTTTCTGGGGGATGCATAAA